TTCCACAGATATTAGAACATAAATGGTGGTATGGATCATAAAATAATCACATGACGACATTAGCTTGAGGTCCGTGACGTAGGAAGTGTTAAAGGAAGTACTAAAGGTGAACAGTCTGGAGTGTGGAAACTGTTTATGACGATAAGATTTAGGTATCTGCATTCCAAAAATTATAAGGGAAGGGAGGAAAACGGGTTCGTGACGTAGGAAGTGATGAAGGAAGTAGTCAAGGCAAGCTGTCCAGAGTGTGGGAACTGCTTATGACCATTATATTAAGGTATCTGCTATCATAAAATGCGATGGAAGGGAGAGAAGGGTCCGTGGCGTAGGAAGTGGCGAAGGAAGTAGTAAGACGAGCAGTCCGGAGTGTTAGAACTGTTTATGACGATTAGATTAAGGTATCTGCAATCATAAATTGCTATGGGAAGGGAGCAAAACGGGTCCGCGACGTAGGAAGTGATGAAGGAAGTAGTCAAGGCAAGCTGTCCGGAGTGTGGGAACTGCTTATGACCATTATTAAGGTATTTGCAATCCTATGATGCTATGGGAAGAGAGGGAAACATGTCCACGATGTATGGAGGAAAACGGTAAAGTCCATATCGGTGAGTGCCAACATCTATATGGCGTTAACAATAACTCTCAGGAATCCGCCCCACTGGGTCTCAAAGTTTCAATGTAATCCTTATGGAAGCAGTATTTGACACATAAACAAAGACATATGATCAGCTGTTGACTTTTGAATCCAGTAGATAAAGAAATAGCTGATAGCATGATTCCACAGATATTAGAACATAAATGGTGGTATGGATCATAAAATAATCACATGACGACATTAGCTTGAGGTCCGTGACGTAGGAAGTGTTAAAGGAGGTACTAAAGGTGAACAGTCTGGAGTGTGGAAACTGTTTATGACGATAAGATTTAGGTATCTGCATTCCAAAAATTATAAGGGAAGGGAGGAAAACGGGTTCGTGACGTAGGAGGTGATGAAGGAAGTAGTCAAGGCAAGCTGTCCAGAGTGTGGGAACTGCTTATGACCATTATGTTAAGGTATCTGCTATCATAAAATGCGATGGAAGGGAGAGAAACAGGTCCGTGGCGTAGGAAGTGGCGAAGGAAGTAGTAAGGCGAGCAGTCCGGAGTGTTAGAACTGTTTATGACGATTAGATTAAGGTATCTGCAATCATAAAATGCTATGGGAAGGGAGCAAAACGGGTCCGCGACGTAGGAAGTGATGAAGGAAGTACTCAAGGCAAGCTGTCCGGAGTGTGGGAACTGCTTATGACCATTATTAAGGTATTTGCAATCCTATGATGCTATGGGAAGAGAGGGAAACATGTCCACGATGTATGGAGGAAAACGGTAAAGTCCATATCGGTGAGTGCCAACATCTATATGGCGTTAACAATAACTCTCAGGAATCCGCCCCACTGGGTCTCAAAATTTCAATGTAATCCTTATGGAAGCAGTATTTGACACATAAACAAAGACATATGATCAGCTGTTGACTTTTGAATCCAGTAGATAAAGAAATAGCTGATAGCATGATTCCACAGATATTAGAACATAAATGGTGGTATGGATCATAAAATAATCACATGACGACATTAGCTTGAGGTCCGTGACGTAGGAAGTGTTAAAGGAGGTACTAAAGGTGAACAGTCTGGAGTGTGGAAACTGTTTATGACGATAAGATTTAGGTATCTGCATTCCAAAAATTATAAGGGAAGGGAGGAAAACGGGTTCGTGACGTAGGAGGTGATGAAGGAAGTAGTCAAGGCAAGCTGTCCAGAGTGTGGGAACTGCTTATGACCATTTTAAGGTATCTGCTATCATAAAATGCGATGGAAGGGAGAGAAACAGGTTCGTGGCGAAGGAAGTAGTAAGGCGAGCAGTCCGGAGTGTTAGAACTGTTTATGACGATTAGATTAAGGTATCTGCAATCATAAAATGCTATGGGAAGGGAGCAAAACGGGTCCGCGACGTAGGAAGTGATGAAGGAAGTACTCAAGGCAAGCTGTCCGGAGTGTGGGAACTGCTTATGACCATTATTAAGGTATTTGCAATCCTATGATGCTATGGGAAGAGAGGGAAACATGTCCACGATGAATGGAGGAAAACGGGTCCGCGACGTAGGAAGTGATGAAGGAAGTAGTCAAGGCAAGCTGTCCGGAGTGTGGGAACTGCTTATGACCATTATATTAAGGTATTTGCAATCCTATGATACTATGGGAAGGGAGGGAAACATGTCCGTCACGTAGGAAGCGGTGAAGGAAGTAGTAAAGGCGAGCAGTCCGGAGTGTGGGAACTGTTTATGACGATTAGATGAAGATATCTGCAATCATAAAATGCTATGGGAAGGAAGGATAACGGGTCCGCGACGTAGGAAGTGATGAAGGAAGTAGGTAAGGCAAGCTGTCCGGAGTGTGGGAACTGTTTATGACGATTAGATTAAGGTATCTGCAATCATAAAATGCTGTGGGAAGAGAGGAAAACATGTCCACGATGAATGGAGGAAAACGGGTCCGCGACGTAGGAAGTGATGAAGGAAGTAGTCAAGGCAAGCTGTCCGGAGTGTGGGAACTGCTTATGACCATTATATTAAGGTATTTGCAATCCTATGATACTATGGGAAGGGAGGGAAACATGTCCGTCACGTAGGAAGCGGTGAAGGAAGTAGTAAAGGCGAGCAGTCCGGAGTGTGGGAACTGTTTATGACGATTAGATGAAGATATCTGCAATCATAAAATGCTATGGGAAGGAAGGATAACGGGTCCGCGACGTAGGAAGTGATGAAGGAAGTAGGTAAGGCAAGCTGTCCGGAGTGTGGGAACTGTTTATGACGATTAGATTAAGGTATCTGCAATCATAAAATGCTGTGGGAAGAGAGGAAAACAGGTCCACGATGTAGGAAGTGGTGAAGGAGGTAGTCAAGGCAAGCTGTCCGGAGTGTGGGAACTTTTTATGACGATTAAATTAAGGTATCCGCAATGCTATGATGCTATGAGAAGGGAGGGAAACAGGTTTGTCACGTAGGAAGAGGTGAAGGAAGTAGTAAAGGCGAGCAGTCCGGAGTGTGGGGACTGTTTATGACGATTAGATAAAGATATCTGCAATCATAAAATGCTATGGGAAGGGAGGATTACGGGTCCGCGACGTAGGAAGTGATGAAGGAAGTAGTCAAGGCAAGCTGTCCGGAGTATAGGAACTGTTTATAACAATTAGATTAAGGTATCTGCTATCATAAAATGCTATGGGAAGGGAGAGAAAAGGTCCGAGACGTATGAGGTGGTGAAGGAATTAGTAAGTTGAGCAGTGTGGATTGTTGGAACTGGAAACCGTTTGTAGCAGTTAAATTAATGTATCTGCAATGTTGAAATGCTATGAGAAGGGATGGAAGCATCCCCACGACATAGAAAATTGTGGAAGAAGTGGTAAAAGCTAGCAGTGCGGAATGTGGGGAATGTTTGTGGCAATTAGATTAACGTATCTAAAATACTAAATTGCTATCGAAAGTGATGAAAACCGGTCCACGATGTAGAAAAAGGCTTAGAAAGTAGTAAAGTATGAGCATAGTGTTAAAACCGTCTGTGGCAGTTAGATTGGTGTATCTTTCATCCAAAAATGCTATGAGAAGGGAAGGAAACAAGTCTATGACGTAGGAAATGGTGAAAGAAGTGGTAAGGCTTGCAGGGCAGAGTGTGGGAACTGTCTTTGGCAATTACATTAAAATATCTGCAATCCTAAAATGTTATCGGAAGAGAGGGAAATAGGTTTACGACGTAGGGGATGGTGAAGGAAGTAGTAAAGGTGAGCGTGTTGAGTGTGGGAATGGATTAATGTATCTGCAAAGCTAAAACGCTTTGGGAAGAGACTGTAGACTGTAGGTTTAGATAATTTCGAAGCACGAATCGATACATATTTCGATACATGCAATCGTTTATAATAGAAATGTACAACTGAGTTGACAACAGCTGACTCCATAAAGAATAAAAACTTTTTTTACTTCCTAAAGAGTAAAATTGCTACTTTAGACCCGCAACGCATGCATTAAAAACGACTGGTATTACTGCAGTATGACCAAAACAATATAATATAAACCCTTGATGACTCCGCTCAATTTTGTGGATGCCTCTGCGAACGCCACCTAGTTTTATTGATCATTGTTGATCAACTTTCTTCATAACTGGTTTAAAATTGTAATTTAACAGTTTAACTTGATTTAACAAGAGATGTAATAGTTACTGAAAATGGATTTTAAATATGATAAGTGATAATTGTAAACTGTATGAGGTAGGTAAACCACTCATTATAGTATAGAACTAAAATCAAACATTTTAAATATTCTAAATCAGTAGTTTTATTCTTCTAATATCACTGTCTCCAACAAACATAGGCTACCACTTTTCAATGATGTTTTTCTTAAATATTTGATTTTTCTACAGTTACAGAGTAACTTTTGAAAAAGGGTGTTGCATTTTTTGTTATACCTCAGAAAATATAGTTTTGAACCTTTATTAATATGTGGAAATTGGACATAAGGTATAACTCTACACCCTAGGGAGAATAATAATACAACGCAAGCATGCGTAGGTACATCTTTGTATTGTTTCATTAGTTGTGTCCACACATTACTTTTTTGTATTGCACATTTATTCCTCTCCCATCTTAGTTAAATGAACTTTGTGTTTTAATTGTGACATTTTTGTGGATATAATTGATGGTGCATCACAAAATTCTGCTTTGATTTTACAGTTAATACTAGTAGAGCTTGATAATTACAATTACACACCCGTTTACTCATCTATGAAAATAAAAATTGACTATCTTAAGTGTCTAGATAAGGAGTTCATGTTTTCGCTGGGTTTTGAATTATCACATAGTCTAGGTACCTAAGTGGTTTATATCTATATTTACTGATTTCACACTATTGATAATTACAACCCTTGAGGTTTGTCATGGAATTGACATAGATTATTTTCCAAAATGATGGTTTTTAGGTTTCATGGATCAGTGTGCCTCAAACGATCACAAGCTATGTATGAGAATACACCTGTAGAGCTTCAAGAGCGTTTGTTGCATTTTTCCCGGAATGGGGACGTACAAGAACTCCAGAGTTTGCTGCAGGCTCGAGCGGAAGGGGAAGTGGAACTCGACGTTAGCTGTAAAGGTTAGCACAGTGTTATTTTGCAGTTTTGGATTTTGTTTAAAAATACTTGTACTTTCATGGCCTGTGACCATGTAACACAGGTCACATGTGGTCACATGTGACCTGTGTGTGATTGAGGAAAACAAAGCATAGGGAACAAATAAAGCTATGAATGACAAAGTTAATTATAATAAACAATATTAATCACGTTTTAAATTTGCTATTGCATATTTGTGTGTGTATTTACCAGGGCCGTTGAATGGTGTATTGGCGCCCGGGGTGGGATGTTGTCAGCTTCCCCCCCCCCCCCTCAAACACACAATGAGTGATTCTCGTTATACAAAGTTGCGTGGCGGGTTGCGTCTGCGTTGTAACAACGCATGCCCAACAACAGACACCCAAACAGATTGAATTACCTTACAAAAATACTAGAGTCAGGAATCAGGGATTAAATTACTTACATTTTTTATGAAAATCTTTTTAATTGATGATAATCAAATCCATACAATTAATGTAAGAAAATATTTAAAAAAAGTACTATATATGATACTAATTAATATAGTGAAAATTGAAATAAATGCAATGGTATGCAAAACCTCAAACCAAACCTACTCTGAATAGAATATACAGAATAAAAGAAAACCACATTATTTAGATATAAGATCCTAAACATTAAATGGCTTTCACCTGGATTTTGCACGAACAAATCAAATGTCTTGAGAATGTCTTTAAAGTCTATCGTTTTCAATCGACATGTTTAGAGTGTTTGGGCGAGGGGTGACACGTCAACACGTGCATATTTGAGGTCATTGTCTCTACTGGGAGTCCTCGTCAGAGTCCCTAGGTTGGCCGTCGGCTGGTCTGGCGAAATAAAAATAGAACACGGCAGCTACACAAGTGTACAGAGTGACACTGCCACATTGCAAATGATTTATATTAAGATGATTAAGTTGGGACAGGGCCTTCAACTCCACAGTGGTGTTCATTATTTGGCTATTATTACTAAACTAAAAGTAGTATACTGGTATGTCCAACTACTCCATTTTTATAAAATATTTAATTTGGAAAAACGTTGCAAATATATAAAGTGATTGGTGTCAAATAATATGTATTTGTTCAATAAATGCATACAACGTAATATTCAAAATTCAGTTATACATAACTTTCCAAAATACTTTATGTACATCTACATTATTTTTTTTCAATTTTGTTGTATTACTTTTGCCGTGGCACCCGTGGCCACCCACAAGCCGCCACATCCGTAGCGCCCCCCTGACTGCGGCGCCCGGGGCGGTCACCGACCCACCTACTCCTTTGTTTACTCTAAACGAAGCTTATATCTAAAAGAGGCTTATAAGTAGCCTTGGTGTTTACTCTAAAGAAGTTTTTAGGCTACAACTTTAATCATTTAGTTCATGATGACATTTTATGAACTTAGTGTTTTGATCAACATTCTATAAAAATATCATAGTTGAATGAATCACTCACAAAATGTGCTGCGGTCTTAAGTTCTATTTCCTACCTTTGCTTTTGTTACTGAGATAATATTGATGTTACATAAAAGATACTGGTTGCCCTTTCAGATTTGGCTTGTTTAAAAAGCAGGTGTATTTGACATAAATCAATGTTTTAAATCAGCACACTAATTTAACTAAGTTCATTTTCAACTTTTTTAGATTCAACTATAATTGCGGGAATAAATTAATAAAAAGTGTACGACTCAATTTACAGCACACTGTCGGTGACTGCGTTAATTTGCATTCTAAAACTGGTTACGAACTTAACATGGGAATGGAATGTTTGATAGTTGTGGATGTTGAAGGTAAGACCAAGAGCAATCTGGGATGGACGCCGCTACATCTGGCCGCTTACTTTGGACACAAGGAGGCCGTGGAGTTGCTGCTGGACCACGGAGCAGACATCAACGCAGTCAATGACACGGGCGACACACCACTGCACAAGGCGGCCTTCATTGGACGAGAGGTACGACCTTGAGCTATCATGATAGGTATATTGTGGTCAATGGCAGAGAGTAAAAGTGTTGTTGGGAGAGGTCTAGGTCTGACCACTGTTGTGAGAAGACAGCAGCGTAGATAAGTTTTCTCACTCTGATTGCAGCTCATGACCCCAACATAATATTGTTCCTTGGAAAATAAGTAAAAGTGCCTGCAAGGGTCTGGTCCCAAATAGACCGCATTGACGGGATTATGGTGTACTTATTTTCGTCTTCTTTCAAGATTTTTTTTGTTTTACGTAATATATTAGTCTTTTTGTGGTTTTCCTCTTTGATTTTCCCACTTTGGCTAGGTTCATGTATTAATCATATCACACTAATAATATAAATGTTTATCAGCCAGTTGTTTCAACTACCCAAATTGGCTCTATGATATTCAAGAGCATTAAAAAATATAGGGTTTACCAACAGGGTGCAGCACTATTTTTTTTGTTTTGGATTTATAACAATAGCTAATTTGAACCAAGCAGAAAAAAAAAAAAGCTGCGATACACAATGGGAATTTTCAAAGTTGGATTGTTTACAGTTGTGCTTATGTTTTTGATTTATAAATAATTTACTTTTTTCTATTGCTTAGGTGCAGTGGTAGAACATTATTATGGCTATGGTAGATGTGTTATACTATAGCATTAAAATAGCATAGCATTAAATAAAAAAAAAATTTTTCTCAAACCGAGTCCTCTCCCATTGCAAACGCAAAGCATGAGTATAACTGCAATAAGCATCTTATACTTATACGCCAACCCCATAGGAAGGACGGGTACTCTGCTAGTTCTTATCACATTTGAGATAATTTCTCACCTGATGCTAGAACAGATTTGAGATTTCAAAATGTCAACAAAACCTTATTTTTCTAATCTAATACTGGACGGGACTTAAATAATATAAGCCCTAAGTTTACCATCCCCAATAATAAACTTCAAACCAAGGAAATATTATGTTTTGGAATTGGAGTAAATCTAATCCAATAAGCCTACATTCTAGGACCTAGTGTTGGTGTTTTTGGAACGCAACGCAGACATCAACATACACAATGGAGAGGGGCTTACCGCTCGAGACGTGTGTAAGAACGAGGAGGCTTCAAAGTTGCTGTGGGCAGCCGAGCGGACGGAGACCAAGCGACGAGAGGAAGCTCTACTAGCAGCGGCAAGGGACGGACGAATAGAGATACTAAGTCAGATGGTAGGCTGATATGGTTGATCTCATTGACTTGGTTTGCAGTTGTAACTTTTAGCAAATTTCCCTAGGTTTTGGCTTGTTTTAACAAATTAACAAATTTTCCTATAGGGAATTAGCTATAACCGTAGGTGGCACGGTATGACCTAGAGCCGGGACCGATATACTTTTTCATGTTGAAGTCACTAGAGGCAATTTTTTAAAGTAAATATAGTTCCTTATTTATTTATTTCATTCTATTTTTAGAATATGTTCAATTTTACTGCATAAACGTTTACTATACAATTATTCAATATTTATGTTTATTATCATAACCAAATTTGACGAATTATCACTGAACAATTTATTATTTTTTGTTAAAATAAAACATACAAATTATCATAGTTTAATTATTTATTTTGTATATATTTCTGTTTTGTTTTGGATAGTTATGAATATGTTGGCCTTGGTCACTACACTATGAAGACTACAAGATCGCGCTACTCATCTATATATTAATTACGTAAGGCGATTCTTTGCGTCAAAATTGTGGGCAACTGGGATGTTGTAGAACGACGGGAGAGGGCTCAAATCAAAGTTCCCGTGACGGCGGGAAAATAGTGGAATTCCCAAAAATAAGTTGTTTTGTTTTACATTTCAAGATTTTAAGGACTTATGTCCCTACATGCCCCTAGTCCTACACTCATCTCCATTCATAGGCCTACTTGGCTTAATACCTACTTTGTATGGTCGCCATTTTAATGAAAAGTATTAAAAAGTATATATAATTGTAGTGTTAAAAATGTTTTATTTTACGGAATACTGTTTTCACTTCAATTATTCAATAATTATGTTAATTGTCATGACCAATCCTGACGATTTATGACTGAAGTATAATTTTTTTTTTAATTGAAATAAAAAAGTATTTTTGTTTAATTATTTATCTGTACATACTGTACATTTATTGTACTGTATATATTGATGTTTGGTCTTGTATAGATTAGGTTATTAATTTTATTATTTGTATATAAGTAACTAGCTGTGTGCCCGTTCTACGCACGTGGATCTTATCATAGTCAGTTGAAACCTTCTTATATTAAGAACAGCATTTGGTTTGCATATTTTCAGATATGCTGGCAAAACTATTATATAAACCTTCGCAAATACAGTATCTGATAGTTTCAAGCCAAAACAAATGCTTAAGCCGGGTTTTCCTAGGCGCGGAAGTGGAGAGCGGAGTGAGGAACGCGGAGAGCGGACTCCACTTGTCTTAGGTAACTTAATGTTACTGTTTTCCTAGAAGCCGAGCGGAACACCATGTTAATTTCTTTTCCGCTCTCCGCGTTCCTCTCTCCGCTCTCCGCTTCAGCGCCTAGAGGAAAACCTAGCTTTAGCAATTGAATGTCACCCGTATCGTGTTGGTCCATATGTTAAATCCAATGATTAAACTAAAAAAAAGCTTTATAGGCCTAGATCTATGAGGCATATCCCTAAGGTAGGACTATAGTTGAAAGTTACGTTCCACAATGGTTTGCTACGCTTTAAGCATAACAAAGTACATATAAAATTAGTATTTGAAATCATTGTCATAGTTATAAAATTTTATCATAACAATTTATATTTACTTGGACCGAAGATGACCCGAAATATTCATGATGGTTTGCTGAACAAATGTTTTAGGCTACTAAAATGAGTTATCATCGTCTTAGCATATGTAGTAGCAAAACTTATTAGCTTAGTAGCTTACATAAAGGATTTAATTAATCGCAAGTGAAATAATATAGTGTAACCGTAAATGAAATAAAATAACTAGGCATCATCCAGGTCAGGAACCAGAGATTTTTTGCGTATAAAATTGTTCTTGAGTTTGATAACCAGAAAGAAGACCTTGAATCAGTGTTGTGTAGGGCTGGGAAACTTACATTTATTAATGATCGTCGCCAATAGCTTACAAACAAGGTTTCCACTCATTGACGGCGCTTCAATGGCGGTTGTGTAAAGTGTAAAGTAAAAAATCACAACTGCAGTGGGTGATTGTAACAGAGGTTTACGGTTAACGGATGATGCTGAACTCGCTTTTCCAATGTGTCACTTTCTGTTCCTACTCACTGTGTAATGCAATCGCTGGACCATACAGCCAATGGGCCCACAGCCCATCTCTTGGGTACTTACGCCTACCCAATTATTCATAACAACCTTTTCGACGACGAACCTTGATACCGGTACTTTTCCCTAGAATACACGGGGCCTCCCTACTTAAGAAATAAAATTACAAACGTCCAAAAACCCAGCATTGTGTGATTTTTGTCACATTTCCTTCTAATGTTAATAGATATACCAATAATTATTGTTTAGAGAATACTTAATCTATTTAATAACATAAAAGTTGTTGGTATAAGGTTGTTTTTTTCTCTAACTGACACCAATAAGTTTACATTCAAAGTTGTTTACAAATAAAGCAATTAATAGGAATAAACTTTGTTTGCTGATAACGTTTTACGAGAAAATCCAAAACCAAGAGATCAATAACCTTGGGACTTGATTAACGCATTTAATTGGTCGGGTGTACTTGTTAACTGTAAACGTTGGTTTTTGGTACTGGTTCTTTTCCTTAGAACTGTTGGTAGCAGCAAGAATCATTTTTACGTACCAATACATCACTGTAATTTCCAAATTAGTTATCGTTGGTGTTGCACCTTATTTAAACAGTCGTATTACAGCCGTACAGAATTCAATTTAATTTATGTCTTAACTGTATTTTTTTGCTACTACATATGCTAAGACAATGATAACTCATTTTAGTAGCCTAAAACATTTGTTCAGCAAACCATCATGAATCGTTACGATTTACGTTGTTTATGTATCAATAGTCCGTGGCCTATTTTGGTAACTTTTGTTGTTAATTACCAATCTAAATCGTCTATAGTAGCCTACTTCATTTCATATAGTAAGCTGTTAATATTTCGGGTCATCTTCGGTCCAAGCAAATATAAATTGTTATGATAAAATTTTATAACTTTGACAAAGATATTTAACACTTTCATACTTTCATAACGTGATCGGAAATGTTTGCGGTATTTGTAAACAACATTTGTAAACATATCAGTGACAGCTAGAAAAAATAATCTTGATCCTAACAGCTGTTCATTATTTCATAGATGATCATGTGATAAAAATTGGACAAAATTTGGCAAAAATCGCACAAAACTGCATTTTTGAACGTCCTTAATTTTATTTACAAAGTAGTGAGGCCATATTTTAAAGGCTAAAGACACTCTCACCAATCCAGTGAATACATTAAAATGACTTGGATCTTAATAGGTACTCTCGTTTTGTTGGAGAAGATTGCGTAAAATGCCATCTTCAGTGTTACAGACAGACAGATAGACAGACAGACAGATAGACAGACAGACAGATAGACAGACAGACAGAAATTTAGATGAGACTTGTTTCAGCTTCTTTAATGTATAAAACGTAAAAATAACCCAACAATTTATGATTCTGAGGAATGTACAGACAAAACTTAATTTTATTTATATAGATAATTTAGTAATATTCTTTTTAATGTATCCTTTTAATTTGCTTATAATAGAACAGAGTGTCAGCACTTATCTACCATACAAAATGTACATCTTTGCTGAATATATTGTACTCAACTGCAAGATAGTTTTAAGTTTTTTCCTCCTAAATTCTTTGTAATTATATCAAATTTGGACACTATTTCCTGCAAATTTTAATTTACATCCATATTAATACATGACACACTTCATTAACAATAAATATTAAAATTTACAATATAGGGCAGGTCCCAATGTACCCGTGCTGGTGAGTGCGAGTGCGTTGGCGAAGGGTCGCTTAATCCTTCAGCGTCCACGAAGCCCCTGCCAAACTATAGGACATAATATCAGTGCTATTTTTTGTTACATTTCATTCTCTAATTCCTCGACTCTTTATTTTCTCAGCTAAACTAAATTAAATTTCTTAAAAGAAATTGCTATGCCATGAAAATATTATTTATTTTAAATGTGCTCAATCGCTAACTGCCATGTAGAGTGTGCAATCAACAGTTTAAGCAGGATTTTGTTTGTCAGTTGAAGGACGAGAGGCCTCCCAACATCAACTGTGTAGACACTCAGGGCAACTCTTGTCTTCATTGTGCGGCCTACAGGGGACACAAGGAAGCTGCTGTGTTACTGCTGCAGAACGGAATAGACACTGCCATCAAGAACATCAGAGGTTAGTGTGTCAATCTCTTTTATTATGAAAGAATCCTAACCTAACCCAACCTAACCTAGCCTAACCAACCTAACTTAACCCTACCTAACCTAACCCCATCCTAACCTAACCCAACCCAACTTCAACTGTGTAGCCACTCGGGAACTACTGTACTTTGCCATGATGACTGCAGTATACGTCCATGACTTCGCTGTTCATTAGATGTCTATATATCTATATAGATGTCTATATATCTATATAGATGTCTAACTAGACACATCAGTGTCTATGAAACCTAATGCATGGGCTTGTAAGAATGGGTAAATACCCCCGCCACAGCAAACCTGTAGACTAAGCAAATTTCCATTTGCTTAATTGGATTTACACTAAAATATCTCTTTAAAAATATCACAAAATTATTCCCTATTTAAATAGCATTAGTTTAACAATTACTTAGGTTTGATGCAACAGGGAGGGTTTAACCCTCCGAGCGTCACTCGTCGAAAAATCAACGCACGACACACTTTGTGTAGCGTCACGCGTCGATTTTTCGACGCACGAACATCGTTTACGGCAAAGGCTCTATGACTGACTGAATCGGATTGAACTGGATCGAGTTAGGTATCGTTCTTTTCGTTAGATTCTAAGCTTTCTCCAGAGGTCCTTCTCTAAGCGCTTTATGTTCTCCGAGCCGATTGTAATTGTAGCAGACAGCTGACGTGCGTATTTGTAAACAGCTAGGTTACCTCGGACCGACGACTGATGTGTTTTATTACGTTTTTCATTGTTTTAGTGTTAAAAATCAATATCTTGATGTAAATTATCAGCCAGATTCCTAGCAATGGTTAGGCTATGCATTCTTAGCTAAACGCTATGTACTGAAATCTGTTTTTTGCCCATAACTTATTTATTTGCAAATCTACTGCCTTATATTATTATATATTTGTAATCCTCATAAAATTTAGAACAAAGTGGCTATTTTCAAATATTTATAGGCCTATAATTTATACAATTTCATTGAGCGCAAACTTATTTTTTTTTTCAATTTTTCCAAAATAATTTTTATTTTTACCTAAAAATTTTTTTTTGAAACAAATATTCCTTAGGTTTTATGTATGATATTGAAGCCCATGATTTTCCAAACAAAATGGTATATAGAACAGTAGAATTAACATTGATTTAAGCTTTTCAGATCCGTTTTAATAAAACCTTGCAAATGCGCCAAAAATAGGCGGACATTAAGGCCTAAACTATGGACACTCGGAGGGTTAAAAGTATGTTATTGTGAAATTTTAATACAGTATGTAGTTTATCTCAAAAATCTTTTTGGGCTCCACCCCATTGGCTCTGGAGTTTCCCATGTTAACCTTATGAGTATTCATATTTAAAAGGAAAAAAGGATTTCTGAGGTGTTGCCTTCCGGATTACTTAACAAATACTAATCTAGAGGTTAAATACCTTTTTGCCAACGTAATCATTGGTAGACTTAATGGCCGGTTTTTCGCTCCTAGGAGGTTGTCATAAAGTCTTCAAAAACACATAACGAGACGAACAAATAACAAAAACGAACACAAACACACATTTTAACGAATAATACTGTATGGCCATACAACTCAATCAGCTGCGGGTTCAGGGTACCTATAGTTTTTATATTGGACAAACCGCCCGCTCATTCAAAACTAGATATAAGGAACACCTACCAAAACCATCCATCCATAAACCCAATTCTGCATTTGCTGATCATCTGTAGTAACCACGATGTCTCATCTATTGACAAATCCATCAATGTATTACATTTTTATAGAAAAAGAGGTAGTTTCCTGGATACAATCATCGAAGTATATGAGATATTCAAGGCCGGCAAGAAACATCCCCAGCCCATCCTCATTGAAAAAACATCGTTTGAGTCGAACATTATTTACGAAGCAGCCTCATTCATACAAAACTTATCAGAAGACAATGGCACTCATAACAACAAAGGATAGGAGGGGAGGGGAAGGACATGGCGACGGTCAGTCTAGACCTACACCCTGAACCCGCAGCTGCGCCGTGAGTTGTACGGCCATACAGTATTATTCGTTAAAATGTGTGTTTGTGTTCATTTTTGTTATTTGTTCGTCTCGTTATGTGTTTTTGAAGACTTTGTGACGACCTCCTAGGAGCGAAAAACCACGTCGAGGCTTGACAATGACACCATAAGTGTGTCGAAACCGGTAGCCAATAAGTCTACCAAGGATTACGTTGACAAAAAGGTATTTAACCTCTAGATTAGGAAAAAAAGAATTTTTTCAGCTGTTTCAACTGCATAATTTAGTTCAATGATATTGAATAGCATTAAACAGATATAAGGTTTTTTACCAACAGGGTGCAGCACTACTACACAATCAGAACTACTTTTTTCTATGGTTTAGGAACAGTGGTAGAACATTATGGGTATGGTAGATGTGCTATACTATAGCATACTGTGTAAATTAAAAGAACCAAATTTTCCTAAACCATGCCCTCTGCAATAACTGCAATAAGCATTTTATACTTATATGCCAACCCCATATGAAGGGTACTATGCTAGTATGTTTATAAGCAAACTACAACAGTTATTTCAGTTAAAAATATTAGAGGACTCAACAAGGGGACTTCACGCTAATTTAAAATGGTTAAAAAGTTAAAATCGCAAAGTTGTATTGCAGCCTCACAAACTGCTGTGCCGGGCTTTGCTCAGGGAGATGGGTCGGGTTCACTAACAATTATCTTCCTTTTAACCCTTTTTACTTCTATAGCAACCGGTCTATTGGTACTAGCTCGGTTTTGAGGGCGCCACTCCGTTCGGAGATCTCTCATAAGAGTTTACAACGGAGAGAAAAACTCTTCTCGTGGTTGCTATGGTAGTAAGGCAGAGAGTTAAACTTTACCTAACCCGATTTTCATGTCTGATGCCGTAACATCAATACCCTAATGTATTTTAGTAAGTCTACCTGATCAATCTCAAACAAATATGCAAATATACAGTACCCAATATTATTCAAATAAATATTTACCAACTGACTTAAGACTAAGATAATAAGATACCAAAAGGAAATTATCCAACCAATCAAGGTTAATACCACTCAAATTAGGCAAAATCTGTTTAACTGTACTGAAAGAATTGGCCTAAGCCACACTTGCAATCTGTTGTTTGATTGTCCACTAATCTAGACAAGTTTAAGGAGATCAATAAAAAGAATGATATTTCTGAAAGAATACGATTAACTTTAATCACTGATTGTGTTTAAGGCACTTTTGAAAGTTCAAACAAGTTACAAGAGTTAATAGCAAACAAATGTTGGTACTCTGAATCAGAATAATGACGTTGACAACAAAGATACAATACAAATTTATACAAAATCTCAATGGTTAAGGCACTTTGGCAAAAATCAGACAATGTAAACAAGTTATTAATCTAAATAAATGGACCCTTTATACGACAAGTAATATATCTAAACAACTTAATTATCTATACAAATACGCTGACGGTGGCCACCCGCTGAAATATCAAATACATAAAGGAACATGAATAACAGGAACATCAAACATAGGCCTAACCTAACTTAATCTACAAATTTTCCCCCTCCCTCCAACCAGATGAATTGGCCCCACAATCCGGAATCCCGGAAAATCCAAAAGTGAATTAGTTCTGTGTCAATCGCACTGTCCACTGTTTGAAAGGCTGGCCAGCAACCAATTAACTGTTCTTCCAAGAGTGAAGTTACTCTAATGGCAAGATACTACAAGTTATCACTTATCGGTTTGAAGCGAAGTCCCTCAGACTCAAAGGGGGGGGGGGTTCCACAAGTCCGTTTAGACCAAGGTAGGCCTAAGTCTAGCCGTGTCTGGAATAGGCTCTGCTCTCCACGTACAAGCGCACTCCACCAGTCTCTCGGGCAGTCCACAGGCGAAATTCTCAAGGCACGTCAGCACTGCACGGCAGTAGGATACCAGAGTACCAGAGTACCAGAGTACCAGCCCTATATAAATCCCAAAATATAATAGTATGGCGTATACGGTACACAATATTTACACTGTGGGGGGAGGGGTTAGGCCTATTGTGAATTACAAACAACAAAAATACATAAGGTTCAATATAAAGCTAAATAAACATGAAATTTGCAGGAGACATAATAAAATAATTTACAATTATACGGACATTTACCTATTACACAAGAGAACAATCTAATAGTTACACAAAATTCAAAATGAGAGCAAGTTGCGCTTTCGCTTCGATCAAACAAAATCAGTCTCGGCTTATTTACAAAATATTTTCCGCGCCTTATGACTTTCTGAAATGGGCATGACTCAATTCAGCTTAGGCCTAACTCTCTTGTGAGATTAATTTGCAAAATAGGCTACAACAATTATTCAAGTAAAATGGCAACATGGGAAAAATACTAAACCTAACCTAACCTAACCTAAAATGATATACTCTTCTTGCACCACAAACCCAGCATATTACCTACTAACCTTGAGCCTAAGAAATAGGGCTTATGAGAACACTTGGGTTTTTTTTTCCAGTTGAATAGGCTAGGCCTAGGCATAAAATTCAAGTTAACAAAATTATAAAATTTAAAAATCTACGATTGATGAATTGAGAGGCAAACAACAAATCTAGGCTATTAGTATCCTTTAAATTATCGAAATTATTCCCAAAAGCAAAACTTGGAAACATGTGCGTCACACCTTGCAAACTTTTACATGAAAAAGATCCAAGACCGGAGGCCTATCTTACACATTTTAAACAAAACAGAACTATTTTACAATTAATTAGCCTATCAGACAACATGGTTTAGTGAATATTCTACTTATTCCACATTGAAATCTCACTTGAATCAAAGAAATATCTCTAAAAGTTACATTTTCTACAAACTTGTTCAGAACCAGACATGAAAGGAATGTGACGACAAAGTTTGAACTTTTAATTTAGTTTTCCTTTAAATCAAAATTTTGAATCATAAAATGAAATGAGAAAATATGTTAAAAATACGAATTAT